GTTCTGGGGATGGAGATGCCCACTGACCTCCAGGACCCCTGTTAGTTAAAGGACCACAGAGTGCCTTTAGTGAAGATCCCCAGGTCCCCTGGTGCCCAGGGTTCTCTGCAGGAGGCAGACACAGTGGGCAGGCAGAGGAGAGAGAGCAAGTCCCAGGCTGCGGGTAGCCTCCACCAGCTTTCCTCACAGACTGCAGCAAGGCTGGACTGGACAGAACCAAGTGCTCACATCCTTCCATGAGGTCAAGCACAGCAGCCTCCTGCCCCAGCCAGACGCCAGAGTCAAGACCACCAAATAATTTACTGTGATCAACCTGTGCCCAGCGGGGCCTGGAGAGACTCGGAGGGGACTTGGACACTGGGGTACCGGTGGCATTCAGGACAGTCCACGACAGTCTGCAAAATGTCCATGAGAGGGTCTTCGGTCACCTCTGTCCACCATCCCAGGGCTGGCTGGGTGCCAGCAGCACTTCCTTCCTTCCTTCCTTCTTCCTCCTTCCGTCTGCACCTCCTCCCCGCATCCGGCACCTCCTCATCCTGAGCTCGGGCCGGGCGGGGCACCAAGGACGCCCTAGGCAGGGGGACTGGCAGGATCGGGGAGCCCGGGGCCATCATAGTGGAGGCGGGCAGCACCCAGGAGCTCGCCTGGCCCTGCCTCACCTGGCCTCAGGACAGCACACACTTGCAGCTCATACAGCCAGGGCCACTCTCATCGGGTGGGTTCAGCTTCCGCAGTTTGTGCTGCCGAATCTCCCGCACCAGCGTGTAGAAGGCATCCTCCACACCCTGGGAATAGAGGGACTAGATCAGGGGCCAGGGGGCCCGGCCAGGAGGAGACCTGAGACCTCCAGGGAAAAGAGGGACTGGGTGGGGACCCTGCCTGGGGAGCTGGCCGGGAGGGAACCTGAGACCCTGGGGAAAAGACGGACTGGGTGGGGGCTCTCTGGGGGCCTGGCCAGGAGGAGACCTGAGACCCTGGAAACAGAGGGACTGGGGGAGGGTCTGCCTGGGGACCTGGCTGGAAGGAGAACCAGAGACGCCTGCTTAGGTAAGGGACTTCCTGCCTTGACCTCAAACAGCATCCCAGTCCAAGATTCACTGTCTGCTTCCTCAGTCCTCCAAGCCATACAGAGTTAGGCCCTGTTCACCTAGAAGCCACAAGGCTTCACTTTTAAATAGTCCCCAAAGCTCAGAGTGGCCCAGGACCCTCCTACATCCCCAATCTGGCTCGAGGCTTGAACACCCTAACCCAATTCTTATCTGAGCTATGGCCAATGTCCCCAGTAGCCTCACTCAGGACTCAGGACTAACAGGTGACCATTGGGTGCTCTTGGGACAGAAGGAACTGGGCCCCAGGGTCACCGCTCTGGCCTGGCTCAGGGCAGCTCTCTCCATGGACCTCCACCTCCCCTGAAGCTGTGTCAGCCCAGGACTGCAGGGCATGAGCCCAGACCCTATCCCTCTCCTCCCTCACTGCCCTGCCGTCTGGGGAGACTTACAGCGTGGGGGCCGCTGGGTCACATGGGTCCCGGGGGTCCCAGAGGGTCCCGGAGCTGGAGCCAAAGCCAGAGCGGCTGCCCTGTGTTGAGGGAGAGGGGCAATAAGCACTGTTCCCTGGCTGGGGCTGAGCGGGGCAAGTCCCTGGCTAGCTACAAGGTGGGGAGCTGCTCACCTGCCGGGTCTTGGCTGATGTCTCAATGTAGGGAATGCCATAGCTTCGGGCAAGATCCTGGGCCTGCCGAGACTCCACTGTACGCGCGGCCAGGTCACATTTGTTCCCCACCAGCACCATGGGCACATCATCCGAGTCCTTCACCCGCTTAATCTGCTCCCTGAGAGGGGTTAGGTGTGAGCCAGTGGGTGGGATACAAACGTGGCTGCATCCAGGACATACAGAGGGCAGGAGACCCTGTCTGGATACAGAGAGCCTCCCTGCCCCACCCATGCCATGGGCTCCTGGGCTGGCCACAGGTGGCTCACCTATACTGATGGATGTCCTCAAAGGACTTGGTGTTGTTGATGGCAAACACACAGAGGAAGCCCTCCCCAGTGCGCATGTACTGGTCCCGCATGGCACTGTATTCTTCCTGGCCCGCTGTGTCCAAGATGTCCAGCAGGCATGTCTCCCCATCAATGACCACTTGCTTCCGGTAGGAGTCCTGCGGGAGGATGAGGCTCAGGGACCTGCACTCCTGCTGGCCTGGGGTTGGCAGGGTCAGCCCCTCCTTTGCACCTCTTGTGCCCCTGGTACCAAGGCTTCAGCAGCTGGGAGACAGGCCCATGCCACCTGCAGGGCTGGGGCCTAGAGCTGGCCCAGTCCTGGCTGTGTCCAAACTTAGCTGCCCAGGACCTGTCCTGGGTTTGCCCATGGCTGCTGCCAGGCCCAGCTGAGTGATCCGGGCTCACCTCTATGGTGGGGTCGTACTCGTCCACAAAGTGGTTCTGGATCAGCTGGATGGTCAGCGCACTTTTCCCCACGCCTCCAGCGCCCACCACCACAAGCTTATACTCCGTCATTGCTCCTCAGGGGCTGCCACTCCAGGCACTGCAGGAGCTCCTGCCCCACCTGCCAAGGAGGACCATGCTCAGCCAGGCCCAGGCTGCATGAAGCTGCTGGGAGGGGCATCTGAAGGGATAGGACCCCCAGTACCCAGCAGGCAGGGGCAGCCAGGTCAGTGGCCCAACCCCTCAAGTGTGGCACCTCCAACAGGGATGAAAGAGCTCCTGCCTCCCCCCCAACACCCTAAATGGCCGAGTGAGGAAGCCGGGAGCAGGTCCCCAAGGCAGGGCTGACAGCTGAGAGCTTCTCCCAACCACGCACCCAAATTAGAAGTTGCTGGGTAGGCAGAAAGCTAAACTGGAGGCGCCTGAGGGCTGAGGCCACCCCCTAGAACAGGTCCTGCCACGGCTGGCTGCAGCGTGCCCAGGCAGGTCAGTGCCAGCCGACAACGGGCTCCTCCGGGCCCGCGGCATGTTGGTGCATCCGACAAGTATTTACTGAGCGCCTACTGCATGCCAGATGCTGCCCAGCGGCAGGGGAAGAGCCCACCAGGATTGGGCGCAATCCTACAACAAGAACAGGGGTCCTTCCGCCAGGAGGGTCCCAAGAAAAAGGGCAGGGGTTCTGAGAAGCAAGCGATTGGGGGAACAGACCCAAGGGAAGCACCAGGACAGTGGGACAGCGGGTCGGGGGCCAAGGCCCGGGGGATGTCCCTTCGGCCCCGGGGCC